TTTGTGAGGCAAACTTCTGATGGGTTCTTTTCAATCTGACAAACTGAGATGCATGATGCCAACATTTGAATATGTTACGCAGAGTCGGCAGCCCAGGCCTCTGCATCAGGCGTCGATGTTGCCATTTGTTGAGCAGTATAGGCAGGGCAGGCTTCCAGGTCGATGTGGAACTCTCCTTCTTGCCCGCTGGAAAGTGAGTCACAAAGAGCTGCAGCATGCTACTGTGTAAATCATTCATGAAAACATCTGCATCCTTCGTGGTGTCGGCAAAGTGTTCAACCAACATGTCATGGGAACGGTCACAAAACTCCATCCAGGCTGGTGATTGCGTCAGATAGGCCTGTCTGCTGGACTGGCGCTGTTGCATGGTCACCTGTTGAATCCTGTGGTGTGCATGGTCAGGTATCCAAAATTTCGCCAGGGTGCATAACATCGGGACATGGCCATGAGTGGTCTGTGATATGAAGGGTGAATCCCACAAATACCGCACTCGTCGCGCTGTCCCGTCAGCATACATTTGCCTGACACAAATGTAATCCAGCCGACTGGCCGTGTGACCATGCACATACGTTGGGCCCAGGGCAGAGGACCACGTATTCAGCGCTACCAATGCAAAATGGCGCAAAATCTGAAGCAGTCTTGGATGGTCCGCATGTGAAGTGCCTCTATGAGAGCGTCCATTCCAGAGAAAGGTTGATGTGCCTGAGATTCTTGGAGAGGCCTGTAAAGAGCTGTTGAAATCTCCTAACATCACCAGGCAGTTCCTGGTGGGAAGGCCAGCCAGGACCCGTTCCAAAAGACCCCACCATCGTTCACGTGCTTGGAGGCAACTTTGTGTAGGTTGGAAAACATGTTGGTAGCAGGCTACAATATCCAAGTTTCTGGGATGTTGTTTCAAGCGCAAGTGCACCAAGCGTCCACTGTCATGGAATTGCCATTGAATTTGCGCTGAGTTGCAAATTCGACGCGAAACAAGAATCAAAATTCCTTTGCCCCGATGTGCACCCTCACCTGAATGAACCATATTCCATTCAGAGTCAGTCCACGTTGCATCATATGTCCATCTGGTTTCCACCATGACCGCAATGTCAACCTGATTGAGAGCTAACCAAGCTTTCACCTCGTCCAGCTTAGAGATGGAGAGTCCCCCACAATTCCATTGCCAGAAGGTCATGCGCCTTTTGGGAGCATGCTGACGGTTGCATCGATGTAGGTCATGATGAATGAACTCTCGTTCTGGAGGTGCAGCAGGACCGGTGGGTAGTGAGCAACCCATGTTTTCAAGCTCTTGGACAGTGTAGTGGCTACCTCTGTACCAGGCCAGTCCCTGTTGTAGCGCTCTGCGATAAGCCCGCTGTAGGCTGCGTTTCTTCACCTTCTGAGAATTCCTTTGAGCAGCTTCATGCCGTGCTTGTGTGCCTGCGCACGCTAAAGGCTGCATGCCATGTAGCTTCGTCCCCTCACCAAGGTTGTGTGGGATCTGATGCCGGACTTCCGTGACCTCCATGGCTAGGTCACTACCCTCACCCCTCCTGGTCTGCAGCATTTGAATGTTCAGTAGAATGAAGCAGAGGCCCAAAAGAAACCAATGCCAAGCCTTGTGTCGAGACCAGGGTCTGGACTTGGGACCAGACTTGCACTCAGAAACAGATCGAAGCTGGTGCTGCTGTCCACTTGTTCCAAAAGCTGTGTCGTGAGATAATGAAATGTTTTGTAAAGACAGTCGAAGAGGATCACAAAACCACCCAAGGGCACCTTTAGCCAGCAGGAGTGTGTGATCGCAGCTGAAAAACCAAATTAAACAAATGATCCACTGTTGAAGCCGCTTGAAATAAGTACCAATGAAAAATCGTAATACCAACGTCGATGCCAAAAACAGAGAACCCACAAGGGCCAGCCAGCAAGCGGGAGCCCACCCCCTGATGTTGTACAAGGCTTGAAAAATCTCAATGGGACAATCAGCCAGGGTGCCCAACCCTTGTATGAGCTCACAGTCGAACAACAGGTCAGCCAGCGTAAACCAGGAGCCCACCCTGCAGAATGTTGTTCGACTGTCTGAAATTGGCAAATGAACTGTTTTGAGAAAATTAAACTGTATCCAATATTGGTGGCCAGTAAAAAGGTGTTGATCCGCTGTAAGCAGGCTCTCGGGCAACAGGCCAGTCAGTGAAAATACGGAGCCAAACCCGCAGTGCGTTGCCGAGAGCTGCCGCTGTAAAAACCCAGTTGCTGTTAGAATCCAGTCGTCCAACCAAGACCAATGTGACGTGTCTGAATCAAATCGCGGCTCAAAATCGTTTGTTTCTGTCGTGTGAGTCCCCTGCAGGCCAGTCAGTGTTCGGAAGCCTACTCCGCAGCGAGCAGTGGACTCAAAAAGGTCTGTTGAAGCCACTGAAAAAGAGGCGCCAGCGCCAAATTTAGACCCAAGTGGTTGGATTGATGTATGATTCCCCTGCAGGCCAGTCAGTGTCCGGAAGCCCACTCCGCAGGAAGCAGGGGAATCGAAATAAAAATCTGCTGATATCTGAGGAATTGAACTGCCAAACCCAAAACTAAGTCCAAACTGCAATGCCTTGCGATTTCCCTGCAGGCCAGTCAGTGTACGGAAGCCCACTCCGCAGAAAGCAGGGAAATCCACTGATGTTTGATCCACACAGAAAAATTGTTCAGGCAATTCCGGTGTCGTATGAAATCCCTGCAGGTCAGTCAGTGTCCGGAAGCCCACTCCGCAGAAAGCAGGGAAATCAAATGATGAGATCTGGTCCAAAGAGAAAAGTTGTGCAAGGGAAATCCAACAAGAAATCAGGATCCAGAGACCAAGCAAAAGGCCAAAGTGGGTGTGCAATCGCCAGGAGAATTCAGTCGCCGTGTTGCTGAGGCAATGAGAGGTATGGCTATGAGGCCTCTCGATTCAATCCAAACGTGGAGCCACAACTCAAAGAAAGCATTGCGGAATTGAATTGTGAAAAAGACCAAAATGGCAGCGGCAGCAAAGAAATGACGGATCAATGGCTCAAATGAAGACACAGCGCAGGAACGTCACGTGGGGGCCTAGAGCTCCTCGCTCTTCGAGGCACCGCTTCTGGATGCAAAGGGGCTTGTGTGTGTGTGTACACTGCTATTCACATGCAGAAAACTACAACTGGACATTTGATGACTATGCACGTTATGTTTTCCGAATTCATGCGCCAAAGACTATGCACGTTATGTTTTCCGAATTCATGCGCCAAAGACTACTTAACAGCAGGGGGCTGCAGGGAATGTCATAGTTCTGCAGCCAACGAAGACGGCTATGACATTCTGTGATATCGATCCGGGACGCTGGATCGACGTACCTGCCTAATCATGTCTTTCCATTTCCGCGATGGGATGTGGCTAACCCAAGAACCACCTTGCCGATTAATGATTTGGACCTGGTTTCACCTGTTTATCAAGGATGATGGACTCAGGAATTCTACCAGGCGTGTACAACCACATCGTCATTGCAGTTCACTTCCAAAAAATCAACAGTGTGCATTAGTCATGTGTCCTATACAGACCATGACCTTATCATCCCTAATGGGGAAGAACAATCTTGGCATAGTGTGCCGAATCCGCCCTCTACGGAGGCAGAAGTTGAGCGAGTAGCCATAGGGGCTGCTAGAAGTGATGGCAATAGCCGAAGGGGGGTCAAGGACAATTGAAGGGTGGCATAAGCCGAAGGAGTGCCCAACGGGCGAATGGTGCCCATAGGGCGAAGGTGGCCATGTGCCGAAGGATTTTATTGGCCGGGAACCCTACTTCTTACTGTCATTTTATGAGTTTTCACCTTCTCTTTCAAATCAATTTACAATTGTGAGGACAAGAGATCAATTTGAAGAGATCTAGAATATAGGAAGACCTATCACAAAAGTGTGCGGACACACATAGTTTGTGATGCTCGAACCAAGCAGAATGTCAAACACGGTAGGGACCTTATCGCTGCAGATGTGTGTACGATCTTGATTCATGTTTTCGAGGTTTTCTACTGAGCGAACACTTCAAACCAAATCCAATAATTGAGACCATAGTCTTGTGAAGTACCTCCTTCGCCATAGCTTATTTTCACTGGGATGTGTTAGCTACCGACAGATACAAGGCGCATCTATGGGCTCACAGTGGGCCCCAGTTGTATGTTCACTAGTTGCCCTACATCGAGAGCACACCTACAGCATGCCTTTTTGGACAAGCCATTTTTTCTGGAAAACTTTTTAGTTCCTTTCGTTATGTTGACAACCGTCTGCTTTTGGGTCCACAACAACTCACTGATCGCCTTCGACAAACTTGCTTTTGGAATTTGGACTTCTACACCTCGCCCATTCCTTTGGAAGAAGTACAGGGTTTTGATGCACTTGGATTCAACATCAATCCACATCAACGTACCATTACATCGGTATTGCCTTGGGACACAGTGATACGCACTTCCGCTGGCTTTGGACCTAGAAGCTCCATGTATACAGGTCTCATTGCTCGAACACGTCTAATTTTACAAAATACTTTTCCTCGTGAACTTCAACTTCCTCAAGTTCAAGACCTGCTCGCCCTTCATACCCTTCAGGAACCTAGATACCGCGAATGCATTCCTCAGATCATTTCGATTGCCCGCAGTTTTGGACACAAATGGACCAGACAACAATTGACACCGTTTGACTGAAAAGAAGCCGTTGTAGCTGCATTTTGGTTTTGTGCTTTTCATTCCAATTGCAACTTTGCAACTGTTGCAACTGTTCAAACGTTTTTCTGCAACATCCCACCCAAAACGCCTGGCTCGCAGTGTGATATTTGTTTTTCCGTAATTGATTATATTCAGTTCTCCAGCTTAGTTTACGTCCGTTGTTCTACTCCATATGGTTCACGGTACTGCAACACACTGGCTTAAGTGTTATATAACTGTGATTTAATCAATCCATTTACTGTTTTTCATCACTGCGTTCTATCTCAACCACCTGACCTACGTGTTCTACGCGTCGGAATCTCAGTTTTTGGCGAATTCGGCCCTTCGTCCATAGACAACTAATAAACGTTCATTTTAAACGGATTTGTGGAAGAACAAGAATACAATCGATTTGTGTCCATTTCATTTCGTGGTATCCATGTTTCAATTGAAGTGCAGTTCTCTTCACTTTTTAACACTCCAAAGCCATACTGTCCTTGCTCTATTTGTTCCACGCGTCGGCAACCCAGAAGTGTCACCTTCCTTATGAAGACATATGTATATATGTGTATACCGCTCTCCACACGCAAAGTGTTGCGCAATCTGCAACAAACAATTGATGTTCGTGAGGGACAAGGGCACGATAACTTTGGATTGCATCATATTCAATTATTTCGCTAATACAAACTTTGGATTGCATCATATTCAATCATTTCGCCAATAACAATTAACACCTTTTAATCTAACCATGTCCTTTCCATTTCGACTTTATTTATCGCGATTTCTTTGCTCTACGTGGTCTACTTGCTCTACACGCAGTCTTTCAGAATTTGCCTTCCATGTGAAGGGGGTGCCCAACGGGCGAATGGTGCCCATAGGGCGAAGGTGGCCATGTGCCGAAGGATTTTATTGGCCGGGAACCCTACTCCTTACTGTCATTTTATGAGTTTTCACCTTCTCTTTCAAATCAATTTACAATTGTGAGGACAAGAGATCAATTTGAAGAGATCTAGAATATAGGAAGACCTATCACAAAAGTGTGCGGACACACATAGTTTGTGATGCTCGAACCAAGCAGAATGTCAAACACGGTAGGGACCTTATCGCTGCAGATGTGTGTACGATCTTGATTCATGTTTTCGAGGTTTTCTACTGAGCGAACACTTCAAACCAATCCAATAATTGAGACCATAGTCTTGTGAAGTACCTCCTTCGCCATAGCTTATTTTCACTGGGATGTGTTAGCTACCGACAGATACAAGGCGCATCTATGGGCTCACAGTGGGCCCCAGTTGTATGTTCACTAGTTGCCCTACATCGAGAGCACACCTACAGCATGCTTTTTGGACAAGCCATTTTTCTGAAAAACTTTTTAGTTCCTTTCGTTATGTTGACAACCGTCTGCTTTTGGGTCCACAACAACTCACTGATCGCCTTCGACAAACTTGCTTTTGGAATTTAGACTTCTACACCTCGCCCATTCTTTTGGAAGAAGTACAGGGTTTTGATGCACTTAGATTCAACATCAATCCACATCAACGTACCATTACATCGGTATTGCCTTGGGACACAGTGATACGCACTTCCGCTGGTTTTGGACCTAGAAGCTCCATGTATACAGGTCTCATTGCTCGAACACGTCTAATTTTACAAAATACTTTTCCTCGTGAACTTCAACTTCCTCAAGTTCAAGACCTACTCGCCCTTCTTACCCTTCAGGAACCTAGATACCGCGAATGCATTCCTCAGATCATTTCGATTGCCCGCAGTTTTGGACACAAATGGACCAGACAACAATTGACACCGTTTGACTGAAAAGAAGCCGTTGTAGCTGCATTTTGGTTTTGTGCTTTTCATTCCAATTGCAACTTTGCAACTGTTGCAACTGTTCAAACGTTTTTCTGCAACATCCCACCCAAAACGCCTGGCTCGCAGTGTGATATTTGTTTTTCCGTAATTGATTATATTCAGTTCTCCAGCTTAGTTTACGTCCGTTGTTCTACTCTATATGGTTCACGGTACTGCAACACACTGGCTTAAGTGTTATATAACTGTGATTTAATCAATCCATTTACTGTTTTTCATCACTGCGTTCTATCTCAACCACCTGACCTACGTGTTCTACGCGTCGGAATCTCAGTTTTTGGCGAATTCTGCCCTTCGTCCATAGACAACTAATAAACGTTCATTTTAAACGGATTTGTGGAAGAACAAGAATACAATCGATGTGTGTCCATTTCATTTCGTGGTATCCATGTTTCAATTGAAGTGCAGTTCTCTTCACTTTTTAACACTCCAAAGTCATACTGTCCTTGCTCTATTTGTTCCACGCGTCGGCAACCCAGAAGTGTCACCTTCCTTATGAAGACATATGTATATATGTGTATACCGCTCTCCACACGCAAAGTGTTGCGCAATCTGCAACAAACAATTGATGTTCGTGAGGGACAAGGGCACGATAACTTTGGATTGCATCATATTCAATTATTTCGCTAATACAAACTTTGGATTGCATCATATTCAATCATTTCGCCAATAACAATTAATACCTTTTAATCTAACCATGTCCTTTCCATTTCGACTTTATTTATCGCGATTTCTTTGATCTACGTGGTCTACTTGCTCTACACGCCGCTACCTCAGAGTGCCTTCTTTGGAAAGACCTGTCCATGAAGATGCAGGTGCGTATACACCTAATCCCAAGCATGAATTTCATTTTCGAATGAGTTCAACGTTGCTTATATTGACGTGATCTGCTTGCTTCATTAGGCAGTCTTTCAGAATTTGCCTTCCATGTGAAGGCCTTTGTGTGTGTGTGTACACTGCTATTCACATGCAGAAAACTACAACTGGACATTTGATGACTATGCACGTTATGTTTTCCGAATTCATGCGCCAAAGACTATGCACGTTATGTTTTCCGAATTCATGCGCCCAAGACTACTTAACAGCAGGGGGCTGCAGGGAATGTCATAGTTCTGCAGCCAACGAAGACGGCTATGACATTCTGTGATATCGATCCGGGACGCTGGATCGACGTACCTGCCCAATCATGTCTTTCCATTTCCGCGATGGGATGTGGCTAACCCAAGAACCACCTTGCCGATTAATGATTTGGACCTGGTTTCACCTGTTTATCAAGGATGATGGACTCAGGATTCTACCAGGCATGTACAACCACATCGTCATTGCAGTTCACTTCCAAAAATCAACTGTGTGTGTGTGTGCGTGTGTGTGCGTGTGTGTGCGTGTGTGTGCGTGTGTGTGCGTGTGTGTGTGCGTGTGTGTGTGCGTGTGTGTGCGCGTGTGTGTGCGC